AATGGATAGTGTGTTATTTGTAGACTGTTTGGATTTACATCTCCAACATATATATATATATATATATATATATATATATGTATGTGTATATGTATATGTATATGTATAATTTTCAATTACTAACACTGATTCCCTGATTTTCCCACGGCGTTTATTGTGCCGATTTTAAATAAGATATAAAAGAACTCATTAACAATTTTAACTAATGATATCTAGCAAATAAGACATTTAATTCGTTAATTAACATTTGGGTCAATAAATTTTTAATGATCGTTAAATCAGACTTTTGAATTTATTACACTACTATATTAAATATATGTATAAAATTTGATGATGATATAAAATTTTAATTTACGACTACAAAATATTTTTCCGTATATTTAATAAAACTTTGTGACTTGTTCTTCGGATTTTAAAAAGCGCTAGAGCACTATGTTTTTAATGATTCCGGATGAGTACTATTTACAAAAGTAGCTCCTATAAAATAGTATGTTATGAAAAATAAGCATTTCCGTAATAGGATTTATATAAACTTATAATAGGATTCATTATTATTATGAAGCTTGATAGGATTACATTGAGATGGGGATTATTTGATATTTAATTTCTGTGAAATGATTTCCTACTAAATGAAATGTCGAAGTGCACGTGCGAATAATAAAATATAATGTTAAAAGAGCGTGGTATTCTGAATAGGTAAGTTGAAGTAAATCAAAGGCAACCAGATTCGCAGACAGTGAATTGTGAGTATTACATTCATTCAACACATAAGCTCTATTTAAGACGCTTATATTGCAGGATTTTTCGTGTACAACATGTTCAATACGTATAAAACACTTTGAATGCTACTTTAAGCATTATGTGATATAATAATAATGCATGTGTATTTCATACAAACACGCAGGCATATAGAAAATAATATATATGTAATGCATATATAGGGTAGAGCGCGTTTCTAAGGTCCGTGGGTAAAATGGTCCACCACCATTATCTCAAATATAAGTAAAAAAAATTTTATCTATAGTATTTTAAAGTAGAAGGCAAATGATATATTTAAGCAACCATCTTAATTCTTACGTAGTCGCTATCAGGAGATAAACGGCCATGTATCAATATTTATAATCCAAGTATTTTTTGTTGGTAGTTTTTTTGGTTTTGAGCTTTTTTGTTTAGTTTATGATACTTGAACATAATTTTTAAGTACTCGTTTTTAATTGTTTTATGAGATGTATGGTAGAGCGGGGCTTAAAGGCACCATCGATATTTCAAAAACTAGTAAAGTTAAGAATTTTTTAACAACAATATTTGAAAGTAGAAGAAAAAGATGTATAATCAGCCATCACCTTGATTCTTAAGACGTTGCTATCGGGAGATACCAGGAATGTTTGAAAATCCATAACAAAGTATTTTATTTTGTTGTTCGTTTTTTGGTTGTGGCCACTATTGTTTAGTTTACGAGGCCTTAATATAATTTTCAAGTATACATTATTTAATTGTTTTATAAGATGTATTATTATTTTTAAGTTAGATGCAACTCACAACTCTATAAAAGCTTAAATGTGGGTGAGGTAAAAAAGATCAACTAAACCTTTAACCTGAAAAAGGCGTAAGTAGTAAAAAAAGTAAATAAAAAAGTAAATTAAGTTAAAAAAAAACAATTTAGCAAGAGATAATTTAAATTTATTCCAACTCTGCTGATGAATATTTCTGACGAAATATCAGATCAAGCTTATATACAGTGTGATTTTTGTAAAAAAATGCGTCCATGAAATTTATATTTCGCATTGGTTGAATAATGTAGCTATTGTTATTTTTTAATAGCATAATATCGATCGACAAGTTAACGCAGATCCTGAGTTTTAAATTTAAAATTAAGACATTAAATCTGTTTGCCCCCTGGCTGTCCCTTTCTACCCAGCCTTTGAAGTAAAAAAGGACAGATCACAAATGTTAGAAAAACAGTTAGCTTAGTTAGCTTTTATTTTACATTTATCCTTCAAAATTAAATGTAAGGCACTGGAACTATTTGCCCTCTCGCTTACACTTTTACGCCGCCTATGGGAAAAAAAGGGACAGATGACAAATTTGGGTAAAATAGTAAAAAATCATATCTCTATAATTAGGATTAAACTGAAATTTTTACTGAACATAGTTGTATAGCTCGATGTTCGATAGGCGTTATGGTTTGTCATATAGTTCATTTAGTTTAGGCAGTGTAATTTCTAAAAGTCAAATTGGAATTTTGTGCCCCGTCCTACCCTATGTGTGTGTATGTAATGAATCTGTAATGAGTTTACTCAACCTGTTAACCGGGCGTGTATTGTTTCTATAATTTCATATGTTTATATTTTATTGATAACAAATGAATGAAAAACTATAAAATATACATATATTGATTATTAATATTTTTGAAACAAATACAAGTTTAATAGTCGATTAAAAATGTACTCATACGCACGTAATTTTCGAAGACGCCTTTATGCGTCCTGTCCGATTAACAGATTAAAATACATGCACTTCAACAGAACAAAAAACACAAAAAACAAACAGAAAGTAAAATATAAAAACGGACAATCAGTCGATTTAAACAATAATAATATAAGAAGTGAATAAATTTACTAAACTTACCATTATTTGATGGAATCGCACAGCGTCCAGGTTGAGCGATCGGTTGAGGCCTCGGAGGCAGCGGTGGCCCCCTATCGTCATCCGAAGCCTCGTCGGATCTCCCGCTAGCTTTTCTATAATCGTCGCTATCTGCAACCGAATAGTGCGTCACAGTCTTTTGTTCATTATTACTAGGCGTTGCACTTGGCCTCTGCGAAGGAGCAGGACTTGGACAATTAACTCTCCTAGTTTGCAGATTTTTAACACTTGTCTGCTCCAGCAGAGCTTGCTGATGTTGATGATTCTCATGATGAAGCTGTTGACTTCCGAGCTGTTGCCCAGAACGGTTGAATTCATTTCCGTAACCTTCTTGATAACTTTCGTAACCGTCACCATAACTTGTTCCTATCAGGCGGCGGCAAGGCGAACCCTGCACCGCAGGGCACATGTCCGGACTCGACGACATGACTTCGAAGTAATCGGCGGCGTTATCGACTCATATCGGAGTTTATTTTGTTTAGATATCATACAAGTCAAATATATGTTAATGAGATTATATACACTATAGAAACCGTAGAAGGTCTCATATGAAAATAATACTCTGTTCACTGGGAATTAACACACATCGATTCGCGTACACTATTCAAGATTTGGATCAATAAGTTCTTTGACAACAATCACTATTTTAAAACTTGTATTTATTCTTCTTAACTCCATTTCTGTATCTGTAATGGAATTATGAAACAACTTAGTATTTTGTCAAAATAATGTATATATGTATTGATTTTTTATTATTAGTATTATGATTGATTTATTTCATTATAAGTATTGTTCATATTGTCTTCAGAGTAAAACATCAAATAATGGTGAGAATTTTTATTTTCCCAATTTTTTTGGCATAAAATCTCAAGGTGTGTATGTGCGTGCGGATACAAATTTTCGTCGACGATTTCGAGAACACGGTTCAACCGATTTCAACTATTCAAAAAACATTCAATGATTGATAAGGAGACATGCTGATTAGTTTTTGGCATAGGCAGGTCTAGCCGTTTCGAAGATACGGGGCAAAAAGTGCCACAAACTGTAACTCAGTTTTTAAGAGAACGGAGTGTCCGATTTTAACAATTCAAAAAATATTTTACTTGTATTGACAAGATGAAAAACTGATTAGAATTTTAGTCAGACAGGTATCGCGGTTTCGGAGATCTAATAAAAAAAGTAAAAAAGATGCGATTTGGCGGTCAAAAATGATCATTAGACATATGCACATAAAATTATCAGATATTTTATAGAGATTTTAACAATAAGTATGAATTTTGTTTACATTCCTATGGGTTCCGTACCAATGTTTATCCGTTAGACGGCGACGCGGCGCTTACGCGCTTCGATATTTCGCTTCTATGCACTTAAAGCAGTACGATTGCTTCAAAAAAATGTTCAGAACTTCCAAAATATTTCGAAATGAAAAATTTTTATTTTCAAAAAGTCTTTTTTCCAAAAAAAATGTTTTTTCAAAAATTTATAGTTTCTCAAAAATCTAATTTTTTTAAAGTAAATTTTTTTCAAAAATGTTAATCTCTAAACAAAATAATTTTTGGTACGGGAGGTTCCAGCAATTTGCCTTAAGGCACGATGCCATGCACCCCACTAGTGTTTTTTGTATATCGAAAATAATTCAGATTTTGATTCTGGCTAAAGTTCCAAAGCTCACTTATATACTTCAAATAAGTAATTTTAACTTTGCAATTTCGTTTATATAATTCTTATAAATATGAGACAATGTTACAGTATTTATAATAATCTATTTGAAAACATTTAATATTTCTCGGACATTTTGTTACGGTACGAGAAATTCCAGCAACTTGCCATACACCACTAGTTATTTTATGTATTGCCTTGAAGACTTTGCATATAGTATATGTGTAATATAACAGATAAATACATGTATAAATAACTAACGTAAAGTACAAGCCCGGAAACTTTCGTATCTGCTTAAATATATGCATACCATATACACAAGAGTTCACGAACTCAGTTTAATCCTATTCCAATTTAATAAAAACAGTCACCATATAATTCAACATTGGAATAACTACTTTAGTTGCTTTAGTCAATCTCATTTATATTTGAAATAACTTCATTAGCACTTCGGTC